TCATGTCTTTTCAACATTTTTGCAATGGCTGACCTTCATTAAGATGATATGATGAAAAAATTCAGGATGCAACATTCTTTTCCTAAAATGGACTTACTTGTTTTGGCTGACAGTCTTTCTGTTAGATCCTTCAGTCGGTTCTGATGGTCGACTCAACAGCAACCCAGGGGCATCAGTCTTGCAAACAACTGCAAAGTTTGGGATGACAATGAACATCGCTCTTGTCCCCAGCCTCTGCTTCAGCTGTCTGCATGATGGCCTTCCTTCAATTCAAGCCTGTAAAACACAACGACACATATGTCAGCACATTTTTTTCACGAATAAAAAGCCGGCTTTATACGATCTGACGTTCAAGTATATTTGCTTTGGAAAGAATGTTGCATCCTGACACCATTTTCCTCATCATTCAGGGGCGGATCCAGGAATTTTCGCAGGGGCGGGTTTTCATCAGCCAAAAATCTGAAAATGTACGCAGGTTTCTCCGGACACTTGGCCTCCGTAAAATCAAAAACTGGGTGTGGGGGGGGGGGGGGGGGTTTCGACTTATTTTTTTTTAATTTATATGATTATTATTTGGGGGGGGGGGGGGTTTGACCCCCAAAACCCCCCTCTGGATCCGCACCTGATATTATCTCAATAAAGGTCAGTCATTGCAAAAATATTGAAAAGACGTGAATCTTGGACTGAGTATTCATTTCCAATTTGGTTAGAAAATACACTCAACTCTCCATAGACTTTGAACGCAGCACGAGAAGTAGCGTCTGGAACTACATACATGTACTTTCCTTTGTTTTCTTATTAATAACATATACTTTGTGATTTTATTCATCCAATTTTTGTTTTCTTGAAAAGAGTGTAGTTATATCATGTCAATATAGGTGGTAGCAGCAAAAAAGCTGTGGGAAGTCATGAAAATAGTTCAAATTATTGGAAATGATTAGGCCAAAGAAAACAATATTTCTGCTTCCGATTACATGGCATTGTAAAATAGGGTAGGTAGGTAGGGACTTTTTTTTGTGTACGTTCATATGGAGGCATCTGCGTGTAGTCACGGGTAAAAGGTAGAAATTGATGGTTTGGGTGTGTTTTTTCCCTCATTTTTCCCATTAAAAATTAGGGTAGAAGTTAGTTAAATAAATTAAAAAGTTTGCGAGTAACACCACGTGGACAGATATCTCTTCTTGGAGGGTTTGCTGGTAACATTATGTGGAAAGATATCTCCTCTTGAAGGAAAGGGGTTAATTGTCAAAATAGGTAGGGAAACCCTAAGCAGAATTTATTTTCTTCTTTTGTTTTGTTTTTGGCCTTATTTGAAAGAAATTCATGGTTTTCTTTATCGTTAGTAGTGGATATCATTACGGCAGCCGTAATGCAATTTTCACCTTCCAAAAGATCGTTACGGTTGAAATTGTCTAAGCTTTTTCCACTTTTCACCGTGGCCCCAACATTCACTTCAGCTGTCAGTTTCGGTAGGAAATACAACTGTTCTTGTGAAAATGTGTAGCGACTGCTGCTTTTTAAAAAAAACTAAATGATGCAGAAAAACTCCCTTCCTAAACATTCAATTTTTCAGAAACAAAATGACAATGATGTTCCTTTAGTTTTTGTCCACCATAATTATACCCGAATGATGTTGCATACGTCAGATGTATTACTTACACATGCAGGCAATATTTAGCCAGCGCCGGCTAAATTTAAGTAAACGATGTTTCGCCAGCTAAGCACTGTATGAACATGCGCAGTGACTTTTTGGGGGACTGAGAAATTTAAATCTTAGTCTGGTTCCCCGTACCGTTGTGGTTGTGACTTCGTATTCATGAGATGGGAATCAGACCATTTTACAATTTCGGACTTTATTTAATTCCCTTTAAGAAAATCCCCCAGATCCACGAATACAACGTTGTAGTCAATATGATAAAACAGGTTGATGTATGCATCTACCAATGTGTTCACAACTCTTGCTCATACTTTTAGGGGAGTGAAATGCCAAATGCCTTCTTTCTTCCCCCCCCCCCCCCCTCTCCCCTCCCCCCCCCCCCCCCAAAAGAAACTGTCTCTTTGAAAACAACAAAAATACATCCATATACCCCCCCCCCCCCAGGCGCGGTTCTACGGGGGGGGGGGGGGGGGCTAGGGGGGGCTGTAGCCCCCAAAAATTTTGTCTAGCCCCCCCAAAATAAATTCCGTAAAAAAAAAAATTGCATTAGCAAAAAGAAGGATTGTGATGTACATGCGAACGGTCTCCCCCTAAAGAAGAAATAGTCGTGACAATGGTGCATTAGTTAATATAGTGTGAATGATTTTAGGATTTTATTGGCGCTCCCCATTGAAAATATGGCATGATCCACCGTGCAAGCCCCCCCCCCCCCCAAAAAAATATTGGTTCTAGAACGGCTACCTCTTGACCTAAGATTCACCAGGAATAGTCAGAATCTTTGGGTCTGGGAACCAGACTACCTTTCAATAGTGTAGGTCTGAAAACACCTCGCGACATGAAGGCCTATCAAGAATTGTCTGCAGGAGTTCAAAGATTTCACACCTAATTTTTTTCCTGAATTCAGTCAAAATTCACCAAAAAACACCTACAGTCGGGGTCAGTGGATGTTGCTTAGCTAGAAATGTCCACAAAGCAGCATGGTTTTCAGTTGAAAATGACAAAATTACTTACTTTGAAATTTGAGTCAACAGTTGAGACGTCTCCAGCCTTCACACGCCCGGGAAGATACAAATGGCGGATCATACCACGTGTTGTTCACTGCGCGTGCGCATTATAAAAATTCCAAAAGGGCACTCGAGCTATCCAATCGGCTTTAAGCAGTCATCAAGTATTTTGCATAACAATAGTGGTGCGCTTCCATTGATATTCCACGAGGTTTAAATTTCGGACAGATATTGTCAGAGTTTTTAACAAATTTTGGCGCTGCATTGATAAAATGAAAATTGTTTCAGAGTATCAAATTTAGAGTCGAATTTGGCTAAATTTGTGTCCATGTAAAGGCCAAAGTAAATATGAAAAAGAGATATATGCTTACAGATGAATACGAACGAAAGATTACTAAAATAAAAACTGAACAAATAAAACACAAACTGCTGCATTCACAAAACTGTTTTCTCAATTTCTTTTAATTTGACAAAATTAAAACCATTTTGAATTAGCACAAACGACATTAATATAAACTACTATTAAATAAAGATCAACACAAAAAAATCATTAGTTTATTTACACCTAAATTAATCTGAAACAAGCCCCCAAAATTGAAAGGACTTAAAGTTAACTAATTCCCATTTACAAAATGTGTTGTTTTTTGGTCTCACAGTTTTTGAAAGATAGGACCAAAGCTTTATTGATGGCTCAATAAAAAAAAATACATTTCTACTTTTCTTTTATCATTTCTTGATAATGCAAATATATTTTACTTCAGTTTTCGAATGCTTGAATAAGTTGGGCCCCAACTATCGAAATTTGATCAAGGTTCTTCTCTCTGAAATGGGAACATATATTGCCAGGACAGCCACAATATAAAACTCAATAAGATTGTTTTTAAAACATCATCTCTGCATTTCCTGAAATGGTTGATTTCTTTTAGCCATCCAAATAAACGTGCCCAAAACAGCCGAGATTATTTGCATTAATTGAAAGAAAAAAGACACATTAAAACGTGCAGTTGTTTAAACCAAAAATTAGCATTTAGTTTTGTAGAACTTTATTCGTTATGAAATATCAGACAAGAGATCTTGACTGTTGTTCTTATCGGAATTTTTAAAAAAAATATCAAATCTTATAAGTTCGGATGTTTGTACTTATGTATGAAGTCCGTCGAATTAAAACCGTTCATACGCTATCCCATGAGGCTTACAACAAAATGGTTCCGAAAATTCTCAGTTTACATGCAAGTAGTGCATTTTTTATAAGATGATTGGTCATTTTAAAACAAAGTCTAACATCGGATTGGTATTAACACAGACCCTTCCGTTCGTCGAAAAAAAAATCTCCAGTTGGCATTATTATTGCTCATAGTACACTTTCATTCTTGTTTTGATTTTTTTTTCCGAATGTGAGAAACACTGCACAATTCAGCATGTAAAAAGAATGTGGCAGTCAATCCAGAAAATAAATATAAAATATTAGCAAACTCTTTTTGCACAACTTATCTACAGAGTCTTTGGGTACTGTACTCTACATAATTAATGGTCTTGATCCCATCTCGTTGAGATACCCCAGTCAGAGATACGGCTACATGTAATTAAATGAAAGGACTTGAGTTCCAAGTTGGGCCACTGTTTAGATTATCTGGTATCTAACGAAATGCAATGTGTGTGAATGTCTTTCATTAGATACCAGATAATCGTGGGGGAAAAAAGTGGCCCAAACAGATTTTGACAGTCTTCACAAGCTTTGACGTACCTTAAAAACAAAAGGTCCATATCACATAAAACAAAATTCCTGTCAATGGTAAAGAAACACTCTAACAAACGGGGGAAAAAAAGTTGTTTGACTGCTTCATTTGTTTTGAGGCACGCTGTAGTATTAACTGTTAGCGTCCAACTTAAAGGGCATCAATACATTTTCAAAATTTACCCTGTTGATGTGGCGAGCTGAGACTCAAATCGAGCGTCTTTTAAAAAAAAAACAGTTTTAGTGACACTTGAACACAAAGACTTAGTACTGAAACACGTCTATCGCTAATTAGTTTCCTTAATGTTTTTTAAACCTTAGTCTCCTCAGTGTTTTTATGTCTCAATGTTTTATTGGCCACTTTTTACCGCTCATTCTAGTCACTGGTTTTCATTAGTATTATTCCTTGTCTCTTGATTTATTCATGCGTCATCGTTTAATTGGTAGACCGAACCTTTTCGTGATAGGAACATTATTTCCTCCTTAGTCTTGCCTTTCCACATTTCATTTCACCTCCATCGACGACGTAGACTTTTCTTGTTCAAGCGTGCAGCAACACAAATAGGTCATAAGAATATGGCCAAGCATCTTGCACTAACAGGATCTAGAGTTTGCAGACAAATCGAATGCTTTCACTGCACAACAAGTCATTCCATTGGTGGGAAAAATCATCTCGGCATTCGACACAGTCTTCGTATCCTGGGGAACTTGGTTCCAATGGCCCCCAACCAAGGTAAGACGAGGCAGATCCGTCACTCCACTGGAACCGATTCTTTCCTTCGATGTCGGTGAAGCCAATCCAGTAGCTGGGAGTCCAGACGTCAGAGGCGCTCTTTACGTAATCTTTGATGAATTCATCCTCCTCTTGGCTGTGAATGGACGCAAGGTGGACCATCTTCCCCGGGTGGGATAGCATCTGGCAGTAGCGCTCAGCATCTATCCAAGGCATTGGTTTGTCCACCCACAGGTAGCAGTGCCCCTGGAAAGCACGCCAGGGTGGTGGGCAGTAAGGTGAGCTGCAGAGAGCAGCTACACCGCTATCAACCAACAAACTGCATGTGATGGATGCCAATATTACCACAAAACCGTTATCAAACGCCATTTCTGTCTTGATGTACATGTATTCCGATCAATTCCTATCAACATATAGACAGTCTTTTTAAGAGCCGTTCCGTACAACAACCGGCTGCTTTGAATTGCGATTCCTTTTTTAATGAAATGTAGGCCTGTGTACTGTAAATTGTGCACCAATCTATCTTGCGCTTTTCCAGTTGTTCAAAGTGCCGACTTCCGCAAATGAAGTGTACACAATGCACACCTATTTTTACAGGATGCCCATTATATCACGCTCCATCAAACCCTTTCATACCAAGCTTCTTCAGGTGTCGATTCTGCGCTCGGGAGGAGTATCACAAAGGAGAGTTTTCTTCCGTTAAATGGCCTCGTGCCAACTGCCAGGTTCTATTGATAAGGATGCTGTTGTCAACGTAACGATGCCGTCCAAATTGATGACGAACCACAGTTTCCATTCGCAACCAGGGCATCACTGTATATTGCCTTTTGAGATCAGCTAAGTGACCCGCTCAGTGTTGCGTGTGAAGTGATCAGCAATTAAACAACTGAACTATGTATAAACTGAAAGTACTTTGGAGTGCCTTTTTTGGTGAAAATTCAGATATTTTTTTAATTAAAACAAATTGGCACGCAATACGACCTGGCAAAAAATATTTAAAAAATCGCCACTTGAAAATTTGACTGCTGAAAATCGCGCAGGAACACTTTTTTGAACGCAAATAAGTATTTTCACACTCTTTTTTTTCATTTTCTGGAGAGCGTTTAGAGTGCATATTTGATGAAAACAATTTTCACATTTCAGAAATTTATAAATTGGCAAAACACACATTGTCAGGACAGCCACAATAAACTTCACAAAATGTGTAATTATTCAAACAAATCGTCTCTGTATTCATATTGATATTCAATTTCTTTTAGTAATCCAAATAAACGCGTCCAAAACAGTTGAAACGATTGGTATAAACTAAATTGACAAATGAAATCATGCACAAATATGTATGAAACAATTGTTTATTTATGTTAGACTTAATTAACAGGTAAATTATGAAATAATCATATGACATTAGACTTTGACTGTTGCGCATGTGCTAATCAGAATTTAAAAAAAAAATTGCCAATTTTTCAACTCGTCTTTAACAATGAGCATGCCATTCCAATGGCCTCAAAATGTCTTTTTGCCCTAAAAATATACATGTATATATCTAAACGTACAAAAGTTACTGCAAGCTAGAACAATACGTGAAAACTACTGCACTCTTAAAACGAGTGTCATATTATAGTATATTACAGAATATACATGTACATACACAGGTCCAACCGATTGAAAAATCACCCACTTAAAGGCAAAGTATATCATTTGCAGCTATCCAAAAGTAACTGACGAAATTATTGTTGAAAAGCATACTTGGTTTATGGATAGTAATGACACTAAACTCCCTGTGAAATTATTTTTTCTTGCATGATGTCATTTTGAAGAATACAATATTAAGAGGAGGTCATTTCAAAAGATGCGTCTAAAGACGCATTTTTAGAAATCTCCGTTAGTAGTTCTCTTTTGGGTGCACGCAAGCGTTGACACAATGCACACACGTGCGCAGTTGCTCAAATTCGTCGTTTCAGTTTGTGACATCGCGTACCTGCAATCGGCTGAATGAGAACGTGTTCCGGACGCTGATTTCGGGCGCAATTCAAAACATGGCTCGGCAAGTTTTGAATTGAAATTGAGATCCTAGAATATTGTTTTCTCGGGAAAAAACAGCATTCACTGAGCATAAACTTCATCAGGTCAGTTGCTAATCACCCTTCTTTCGATTTTGAGCACTTTTGTTGCTTCAAATGAAAAAGAAAGCACAAATCACAAATGCTATACTCTACCTTTTAAACACCTTTACTTTGTTTCAGGTACTGATCAAAACTACAGGAAAATCTCCTTTTTCTTATCCATGTTAGAAAAATTGTTCAAAATTCATCTTAAAACTTTGTGTGAGGAACACGCCGGTATGCACACTGGTTAAAAGGTAATATACAACATTTGCAAACACCAAAAAAATTAGTACCAAATTACTATGAAATACCTCACTTGACTGTAAGTGAATAATAGTCTCAAGCATCCTGTGTAATCAAGGCACCTGGTGTGCTGTCATTTTCAAGAAAAGTGGAATTTTTGTATCAATTTCCAACGATGGTCAGCCGACCATCGTTGGAATAAAATGACTTTGTTTTCTTTCTAATACTGCCCCAATTTACCAATTTTACTTAGTCCACATTTTGTTTGAAATCGGTTACACATCCGTGAACGGGTGCAAGCCAGCTAGTCTGGTTCCCTGACCTGACAATTCCCCGACGTCTATAAATTGCTGTTTCATCTGAAGTAGGATCAGGGAACCAGACAACAACATGTTTTCTTGGTTTTTCCAGCGTCTATGAACCCAGAACGTTAAACAGGTCAGTGAAACGATATCTGCTATAAAATACAAACCCCAAACCCATCCATTTCTGAAAGTACAGCAAAAGCAAATGTTGCATATTACCTAATGTATGTATGGGACAAAGTTTGCACGACTTATTTTTAATCTGAACGTACAGAAACCCGTAGTGTCTTTGTGCGAGTATCAGGTGCAATCGGAAATGCGTTCAAAAGTCCCTAGCAGTGGTCTCCTCCTCCTCTCCTTTCGTAAACCATTGAGGGGGTACTTGTGAATGAAGTCCGTCAGATTGAAACTTTTCCTTAGTAATGCCATGAAGTCTTGAACTAAGACTGGTTTTGGATTAACGGAGCCGGTCTCCGGCAAGCCCGAGTAACTGCCTCCGTGGTAATAATAGTAATAAGTTGGGGGCTAATCATCCTTACTCGCAGCTGCGAAGCTGAATTGCGAAGGACGCAGCTACAATGTGGTCGATCCGAAGGCATGTAAAGGCGCATTTGGCAGCCGCCATACGACTCATGTATGACCACGGAGCACAGCTAGAGATCGAAGTGTTTTATTTTTGCGGAGGGAGGAAAACCGAAGAGCCTGGAGAAAAACCCTCTTGGCACAGGAGAGAATCCACGCAAAGGTCACCATCAACGAGATGAATCGCTCCCAGTCTTGGGAACTTTGGCAGCACTACCCAGAAATTTCTGAGCCTACCTCATGTGCGCTGTTTTCAATCTGTTTGGAGTCAGGTTGGCGTAGCGGTGCTTTCCTCGCCTTCCACCGCTGTGACCCGGGTTCGAATCCCGCTTGGGCCAACATCTGGATTAGGTTTTCAGTCCCTACTTGATTTTGTGGGTTTTCCTCAGAATATTCTTCTAGGCTTTTCCTCCCACATCTAAAAGTAAAACTGTAATTTCTTCACATTGTCTTCTCTTGGACTCAGGGGAGATCAGTGGATTCCACTGAATGGGCTACAATAAGAAATACATGAATCCAATGTACGCAAGTGAGGTATGCTCAGAGTTGTCTGGTTAGCGCTGCCGGTGTTCTCAAGACTTGATTTGGTTCATCTGGTTGATGAAGACCTTTACTGCCACGACGGCTTTACGGCACTTGCAAGAGACCGGATGAATTGGGGAAATACAAATCCCAAACCCAATCTTTGACCAAGGTAAAAGTAGGGTTGACTTTGCGCAGTAAAGGGTGTAACTATTTACATCTTTGAGTGGCCGTTCATCATCTTTGTTCCAGCTTGGGCTTGGGAGGTTTGAAGGCCATCCTGTTCTTGGTCTTGGCTTTCTTCTTCTTGCCTCCCTTGTTGAAGTCTCGCCAGCTATCCACGCGGTCATCCCGACTTTTCTGCAACAATATTTTAATATTTTGTTATACGACAGATGTTTCACCTGATCAGTGTAGTAGTCTAAGTACCTGTGACAGATTACCAGAGACCACAAGTCCTGCGTCGGAAGTTAAATCACATCTCAATTCACAAGCGACAGCAGATGAACAAGAACAGAGGGTTTTTTTTAACAGTGTGTTCGAGTATAGCTTGTGAGTTGCTTTGAGACGGGATGACTTGTGATGCACTTATGATGGACTTCTGATTGACTTGTGACTGACTTGAGATTGGCTTGTGATTGACATGTGATTGCCTTGTGATTGACATGTGATTTACATGTGATTGACATGTGATTACTTTTGATTGACTTGTTGTTGACTTGTGACGGCCTTGTGATTGACATGTGATAACTTTAGATTGACTTGTGATTGACATGTGATAACTTTAGATTGACTTGTGATTGACATGTGATAACTTTAGATTGACTTGTGATTGACATGTGATAACTTTAGATTGACTTGTGATTGACGTGATAACTTTAGATTGACTTGTGATTGACATGTGATAACTTGTCAATCAAACAGTGACCCATTACATTACAATGTTATGTCCGGTAACCACTGAAATGTATACAAAACACAGGCAGGCGGGTTTATTGCCAAATCCGGAATAGTCAATTCTTCAAATCTTCAAACCAGCCAGGCCCCACTTGCCCCGCCCACCCCCACAGATCTTACCTCCCATTCCTTCTCCCACTCCTTCTGTTTCTTGGCTTTCTCCTCGGCAGCGATCTCTTCTTCCCGTTCCCGTTTCCGCAGCACCGCGTCCCGCTCGGCCAGCTCTCGCCTCCTGATCTCGTAGTCGGCAAACAGCTTCACCGTTGTCTTGTACAACGTCTCTTTGAACTGCGGGATTAGAAGACGAGAACGGACTCAAATTTTCACTTCTGGTCTATGCACAGATTATCAATAAACATCAGACATGCAACTTGGGAGAAACAAAAACGAGGAAACTCCAATCTCTACAAGACTCTGTACAGTATTTTGCGAATTTTAAATGGAGTAAGTGTGAAGTGAAAAGTTGCATGCCTGAAACATGTATGGTGAAATCAGAAAGCTCTCCCAGAAGAAGATCTTAACTCTAACCTTCCCAAATCCTCCAAAATCCTCTTGGAAGATTTTGCAGGATTGAGGCTGTATGGCAAAAATGTGTGGCTGATTTTAGAGGATGCACTATGTCAAGGTTTTGGGGGGGACATGGTGTTGTTTATGCTGAGCTGTGTATAAATTGAGGCCTGAATTATACTTGGAATCCTCCACACTGCTCCAGGATGTCACTGGCTCTGCCTCAACATATTAACAGTGATTGCTGGAGGATTTTGCAGGATTGAGGCAGTGGTCACCCCTCCAAGACAGTGATTAATAATGGAGCAGTTTGCAGGATTAAAGCTGAATGCATTTTTTACAAGGAGGCAGTTGAAGGATTTTGCAGGATTGAGGTTGCATCCTAGCAAATCCTAGCTTCCCGGGGTCCGCTGGCTGATTCGAGTCTCATATAGCAACGAGTACCGCAACTAAACTATTCATAAGATGGAATTTGCGTTGGGGTGATAGAATTCAATATTGGGTTCGGCCCTTCACTGAGGTATTTTATAACCACTGTATACTCGGTGTTGTCCCGAATAATTGTTGAGGGCCTATTTTGGAGAGAAAGTTCTCTTGCCTTTTCTGGATCGTCTTCCTCGATCTCTGTCGACTTATCTTCCTTCTTCTGCTTCTTTCGTTTCTCTTCCAGCTGAAATAAAACAGTAGAACCAAAAAATTAAGCACCGAACTGACAAATTCCAAGATAAGATCTAGAAGTGGTGGGCAGCCATGTTAAGCAGCTGTCACACAGTAGCGAATAGAGCTAACTTATGACTAGCGTACTGACTTTTTTCCTTGAAATTTGGAGTCAAGATACACTCAAATTCTCGGCCAAAATCTGGTGGTTTTTGGCGAACTCCTGATGTATAGGACGAATGCCCAATGAATGAGGAATGAATGCCGAGCGTATAATAGTAACAAATGACAGTGCATGCGTAGCGTTCATCCAATGAATGCTGAACGTACGCAACGAATGGCCAACGTATGCCTAGCGTGCTGCGGCCGGTCACGTGACGTGTCTCCACTGACTCATAAATACGCTCTCCAAGTCCCCGTCGTCACACTTCAGACAGTCAATATCTCCAGACCAGTTCCTCTAGAGTTCCAGTTCCAGCATGCCTCGCAAGAATCCTGATGGCAAAAACAGCTGACGAAGAAGCAACCTACACCCAACGTGCGAAACTTTCACACAGCAAATGCACAACGTATACATAGCGTATTGATCACTATGTTGTCGCCCGCTCAAAATTTTGAACATGTTCACAATTTTTCGTAGACCCTGGCACACCTATGCGAACCCCTACGAACCGCTAACGAATACAACTTATGCCAAACGTGTCACGAACGAATGACAACTTACAAGAACATACAACCAAATTTCCAAAAACATCTGGCACACTTTGTGACACAGTGTGACAGGGCCTTTAGTCGGGCAGAAATACACGGAAAAGTAAGGTAGCACTTATAAAATGACTAACATAACAAGAATTTGTTTATTTCATATTTCAACTGGGTAGCCCATTCAGTGGAATCCACTGGTCTCCCATGGGGCCCAGTAAAGAGACGACAATGTGAAGAAATTACAGTTTTAGAGAAGAAAAGCAATGGGTCACTTTTTTTTTATTTCTCAACATTCAAGCTATCTAAAGCCCCGGTTCATACTTCATGCAAAATGCGAAGCGAATTTGACCTCATGAAAACATTTGCTGCGAAAATTGTCCGAATTGAATTGTGTTCAACTTTAACGAATTTGCAGCGCAAATGCTACCCATGATGTCACATGTTGTGTCTGATTTCGCTTTCACTCCGACTATGAACCGGGCTTAACCCTAACTTCTGAGGTACATGTAAGATGCAACCTCAATCCTGCGAAATCCTCCAACTGCCTCCATGTACAAGTGGCATACAGCTTCAATCCTGCAAAAACCTCCGTTATTTCCTGAATTTGGTCCTTGGAGGGGTGACCACTGCCTCAATCCTGCAAAATCATCTGACCACTGCCTCAATCCTGCAAAATCCTCCAGCAATCACTGTCAATATGTTGAGGCAGAGCCAGTGACATCCTGGAGCAGTGCGAAGGATTTCAAGTATAATCTAGACCTAAATTTATGCATGGCTGAGCATAAACATCACACATTTTTACCATATAGCCTCAATCCAGCAAAATCCTCCAATTTATCAAAGAGGATTTTGGAGGATTTGGGGAAGGTTAAGGTTAATGCTTACGAGAAATTCATTCTTCTCCTTGGCTTCTTCAATGATGGCCAGCATGCTTTTCCTCTTCTCTTCGTCTTCAATGGTCTTCATGGCATTGGTCAAAACTGCAAGACAAAATGAACGTCGGTAACATTTCTGACAAAACTTGTGAGGGGCTCACTATGAAAAAGACTTCTGGGCCAAGTTCAGTGACTCAAGTGCCAGTATAGGACGGTGTTCACATGCACTGGCTATTTTTGTGCACAGAAACGACTGGCGGGTTAAGACGTCAAGATTGCCTGGACTCGCCTCCGGGTGACGTCTAAACACGCTAATCCTTTATGTCATTGTACACACACACACACACACGCACGTGTGTAAATGCCGGCAATCGAGGACGCCCCATTGTCCCTAATCCTCTTTCTTTTGTTTGTACTCTAACTTTTTAGCGACAGCTCTCATTGGTTTTGTACACGATTTGAGATCGTGGACGTTCGGTCAATCGTGGACGTATTGTTTGCGCCCCAATTCTTTTGTCCTACGTCCACGATTGCCGGTGTTTACATACTTTCACAAACACACACAGTCGTGTTTTACTATACTCTCGAGGACAATGCTTTGTCTTTTCCTTTGTCCCTGTAATAGAACACTCTCCCATAGACTAAGCACACAAACGCACGACCGAGGACCGATTTTAACAAAAGATGAACTCTCGAGGACAACAAAGAATCTGCTGTTCACCCTTTGTCTGTCTGTTCTTGGGGTGTATATAGTTCACGTACACAAAGTCCATGTAATCTGTGGAGGCGGACCGTGTGCTGACCGTTGTGTGGGCCTTTACGCACGGCCTATTGTTGTACAATTTACGCTCCAGTGCACACCCCGGAGTTTTGAAACAAAGGCGGTTTCGGCAAGAAATATCGTACAAATACTGTTGAAATCACTCTTGCGAATCAGTATTTGTGGCGTTTGGCTGTGTATCAGAAGTGGGTTGAAAAATGTTGCCTTTCGCACAAATTGAAAGGAAAGAATGTTGCAACCTGACACTACTTCAGCGGTTGTGTACAAAGTCTATGGAGAGTCAAGAACATTTTCTAAGTATTTCCTAACAAAATTGGAAATCAAATTAGGTTTTGCCCTTCACCGACGTTTTTTAAACACTGTATACTCAGTGTGTTACCTCCCGAGTGAAAGTTGGAAAAATTACTCGGGTGGGACTCGAACCCACGACCTCCTGCTTTCTAGTGCAGATGTCTTGCCACTCGACCACCGAGCTAACGGGATCGGTTGGCACACCGAGAGGTAACACACTGAGTATAGAGTGTTTAAAAAAAACGTCGGTGAAGGGTAAAACCTAATTTGATTTATATCACCCCGACGCAAAACTCCATCTTATAAAATTGGAAATGTTTCTCAATCCCAGATTCATGGCTTATCATCATTTCCGAGGTACGTGTACATGCATTTACTGATAAGATTTTCTAAGTATTTCGTAACAAAATTGGAAATGTTTCTCAGTCCCATCAGATTCATGGCTTATCATCATTTCTGCAACGACTGACCTTCATTGAGATGATATGAAGAAAAAAGCAGCGTCAGGGTGCAACACTCTTTCCAATTGAAATTTTCGGCAAAAATCCCGGCGCGAAGTGGTTAAAAGCCTCAACATCCCCCCCCCCCCCAAAAAAAAATCTTTTCTGAAAAAATTGGGACTTCAACACCCAGTCAACCCCTCTCGAATATCCACATGAATTGCGTCCTGCACACCGAGCTCTCACAAGCCACAAAGCGCGATGAACTGTGCACGCACGGACCCTTAGGAGTAACAGCTCAAGATGGAAGGCGTTCCCCACGGTACTCACCTTCAAAAGCTTTCTGCGCCCGCTCCTTGTCGTCAACATTTTTGTCGGGATGCACAAGAAAGGATAACTGAAAAAAGAACAAATATTACATTCAAAGTTACACTACAGTATGTCACCAAAAAAAAGGGTTCGTCTGACTGTTTTTAAATCAACTACAAAACCATGAGGTCAATTTTGAAATTGTTTGGTTGTGCAGTTACTCCTAAGCCTTGGCCTCAACCCCTACGAGTTGCATATAATTTCAGTCACGCATCACTGCAAAATGGTCAAATTGATCACAACAACATTTTTGGACACTGTGACCAAGTTCCATGCCTTAATCCATTTCAGTGTAGCCTTGGTCAATGCTCTCGTCCTTATTCGTCCCGTACGCGGTCAATCGTCGGCATATATCCTCACGCGCTATGCACATGCATGTAAAAATACAGCGCGAACAGCGACCTCACGCGGGCACTATTTTTATGCAAATCAGTTGGAGACGATGTCGAGCCTTGGTTCAATCGTCCATGTGAGGTTTTGGGGGTGGTGCTCATTATGTTAATAGCCTTAGCTGACCTTAAATGTCGTTTTCTTATTGGTCGATCGTTGCGTGGAAACTTGCATAGTGAAACGTGGCACCGTACATAATCCATACACGTACACATTGTGTGTCTCTGCACACGGCACCAATGCACAAAAACTGTGGTTCCTGTCACGTCCGCAAAAGCCGGAATAGCTGCAAATAAATTGATGACGTCCGGATTTACCAAGGTGTGATTGGACACTCCACATATTAGCCCCGCCTACATTATCTGTAATTCGCATACGAGGTCGTGCGCTGGAAATCTAGCGCAAATTTAAGAAAAACATAAGCTTTGGCCGACGATTGAACCAAGGCTCGACATCGTCTCCAACTGATTTGCATAAAAATAGTGGCCGCATGAGGTCGCTGTTCGCGCTGTATTTTTACATGCATGTGCATAGCGCGTGAGGATATATGCCGACGATTGACCGCGTATGGGACGAATAACGACGAGAGCATTGACCAAGACTAATTTCAGTGCTGTGTTATGTAAGCTGTGTTGAATAAAATCCTGCATGTTGAGAGGAAAAAAGCTGATGTGGTTTGGGATTGGAATCATTTGCCCTTGAGCATTAAACTGAGGTCTTGCCATGATGACTGATAGCCAGGCATATGATTCCGATCCCAACAGCAGCCCTTTTTATAACATGAAGGATTTTACACAAAATTAAATGCTACATGTAAGTCACATCCTTAGTCACCAGTATTTTTCACATCTGCAAACAAAATTTGCAGAAATTAACTTACCCGTCTGTACTTTTTCCGGATTTCATCAGGGGTCATTTCTGGTGGCACTTGTATGACCTGTTGCAAAAAGAGAATAATATAATATGAACTGTACTGCAGAACTTGGGCGTAAAGCGACGAAATGGAATGAAATTTGGCACACACACTCAGCAATTTTCTGAACAACTTGATTTTCATGTACAGGGTCAGTAAAAAAACGAAACCATGTCGGGACCATTGTTTTAGTGACATTCTGCATGCAGCACTTTCAAAATCTAGGATATGAAAGCCTATTCATAAGCCTCCTTTAAGTACGAGAATTATTCAAATCACTTATGTACCCATGTACTTTTCAAGTTACGGAATTTTAAACACAACCGCTGTTTTAAGGTTCCGTCCACAGATCACAAAAAAGTTCTGTGTTCTTTCAGCAAAATGAAAACAAATCACATAATGTGTGTGAATTGTTTTCGTTTTGCTGAAAGAACATGCACCTTTTTTTGTGATCTGTAGCTCCTGTGTGTTGTGTAATGCACGTTCAAGAACCCAGTAACACTTATCGCTATGAGAAGGGGTTTGCCCCGGTGTTATGCGCCGCAGCACCTTGTAAACCCTTATAAGGTGCTACATAATGGGTCTCATATTTCTCATCAACTTCATAATTTCCAGCCCCTTGAGTACCTAATTGTTGGTAGATACGTGTGCTATATAAGACTCCGGTATTATTATTATTAAAATTTAACATCATATAGTAAACTCAAGACCCAAGCTGTTGGACTCTGGGCCGCATTTTGGCGCTGTGACCATAAACATGTTTCTGGTTTGGGACCGTTTTGGCACTTCGGTTACACTGAAATGACGTCATTGTTCCGACCAAAGTTGAACTGAGACTTGCGATCGGTTTGCTTGCGTTCCAAGATGGCGAAAAGGTAAACACAAGTTTGAGCAGACGACGTTACCTTGTTATCACACAAAAGGGCTTTAACCAGTTCGTGCCATGATTATTTTGACAAGAAGGGAACGAGGCGCGGGATTACTTTTTAATCGACCTCAAACCAGGCGGGTTGAAGCCATCACCCTTGGGCAGCACACTCATATTTCCGGCCTCGCTCGCTGCGAGCGGGTCACTGACAGATATATCCGGCCTCGCTCCCCGCGTTTTTATCCTTCATCCGTTCCGAATACTGCAAAAACTTCGCATGTATACACGTCATCCAGCGCGAAATTGGTTAAACATGTTCCTGGTCCAGGGCCGCCAAAACGCGGCCCCGATTACGGTGGTATGCAAACCCCATGTATAACATTTTCAGTTTGCAGTACTCACTCCAACAGAATCCAACAAAACCCTGGTCTTTGAGTTTAACTGGATGAGGATTGTGAGGGTTAAGAGATTCGATTTACCTCAAACGGGTTGAGATTGAAGTACGTACTGCCCGGACGGAGAAGTCTGTCAATTTGTTGCTTTGGTGTCAGTACTGAATCCCTCTTCTCAATCGCCTTCACCTGTTGGTGAAAAAAAATACTGTAAGTTAAAGGGAAAATACAACATTTGCAAACATCAAAAAATAAAACTACCAAATCATTTTGAAATACCTTGCTGGACTGTTAGTGAATGACAGTGTAAAGCATCCTGTAAAATCATGGCACCTGGTATACTGTCATTTTCAAGAAAAGTGGTATTTTTGTATCAATTTCCAACGCTGATCGGCCGATCAGCGTTGGAAAAAACTGGCTTTTTTTTCAAATACTGGCCCCAATCGACCATCGCACTTGTTTGCAATCGATTACAAACCTATGAATGGGTACGAGCCAGCTAGACTGGTTCCCTGACCTTACAATTCCCCAATGTATGTAACCTGCTCTGTTTCTTCTTATATGGAGTCAGGGAACCAGACTACAGGAAAATGATTGTTTTTCTTGGTTTTTATAGCATTTTCGAACCCAAAACCTCAAAAAAGTCAGTGTAACTATATTTGCTATATATTTCCAACCCCCCAATTCCATCCATTTCTGAAAATTACAGCAAAAGCAAATGATGTATATTCCTTTAAACTTGTGGCACGCTGGCAGTATTTATACAGTCAGTTAGTAAACACACTTTTCAGTGTACCTAACCAAAATCAACGATGACCTCATTTGACCCCTAGATGACCTTTGACCTCAAATGTTTCAAGTCATCTTAAGTCCCTCTACCCAAAGATTATTGTCCCCAGGTTTGGTTGGGAGTTAAGTCTGACTTTTCATATGACAGCACTTTTCAGTTTACCTAACCAAAAACAATGATCTCATTCGACCCCTAAATGACCTTTGACCTCAAATGTTTCAAGTCATTTTAAACCTTCCTACCCAAGATTATTGTCACCGAGTTTGGTTGAGATTGAAGTCTGACTTTTCATATGACAGCACTAAGCAGTTAATCTAAGCAAAGAGGAACACACTAAAAGACCGACACACAGAATGAATTCAATATTGCAAGATGCCCCTATATTTTATTTTCTTTCTGGTAATGAAACCAAGGATTCCTCAAAAGCGCACTGGGCACTGTAGCCCGAAAGCTTGAAAAAAAACTGTAGAGGGAAGACAATGAGAAGAAGTTACAGTTTTAGAGGTGGGAGGAAAAGCCCAGAAGAATATTCTGGAGAAAACCCACGGAATCAGTAGGGACTGAAAACCCAATCCACGTATTGGCAAAGGCAGGATTCGAACCCGGGTCACAGCGGTGGAAGGCAAGGAAAGTACCGCTACGCCAACCTGACTCCCCTTCTTGGCTTAAAAGGCAGGGGGGGGGGGGGGATAAAAATGATAATTTGGCAAGAATACTGATAATTCAGCAGCAAGAGTCCCGGCTGTTGTTGGAAATAAATACATTTTATACACTTATCTGATCGTACGCAATGAAGTCAACAGCTGGCTTGCAGTGGTTTAACAAATATAGTATTTGAGAACAGTGCTCGTCCTCAGCGATAGTTTAGGTCCTAACCATCATAAGTACTGATAATACAAACTTCCTCTCTTTAATATTGAAAATGACAGCATACCAGGGTCAACAATCTTACAGAATGTTTTTCATGTGTATTATTTACTTAAATCAAGTTTCACTTTCGAGTGTTTGGAGAAGATCGAAAAGGGAAGGAAAAGGGAATTCCCAGTTTAAACCCAACACAGGATAGCAGCTGGACAGTCGTTCTTTTAGTCAGATCTCTGAACAGCGCAAGACAAGCACACCCCTTATTGGCCAAAAATATATTGTACAACGGACAACCATACATGTACACTTGTGTGGTTTTCAGTTTGCTGCAGTGCACGTACTGAGACATCTTTGTGACTACCGGACCTTTTAGCCTGTGTGATATTTTTTATCTTCCTCTGATTTAACAGTCCTAAGAAACAATGTACATGTACATGCTTTCATGTATGCTTATTCTTTTTGTTGCATTTGTGGAGGGAGAAATTGGAGGCAAGTACTTCACTAAGCACCCACAGGATACGCTGGCCATAGTCGGAGACAATGTGATGTTGAGTTGTACACTTGATGTTGAGGTACCGGTATGTACTAATCAAAGAGATCAAGGCCACAGGATTTACTGGATAAAAATAGAACATATTGGTAGGGGCATTGAAGCTCGTACTACGCTTTCTAATTGTGATGTTGCACATGGAGAACAATTTGCAGTCTCTTCAAGTGACTACGAGTGGTTTCTGCACATACAAAATGTTGGGATAAATGATGGCGGGCAGTTCCAGTGCTCAATCCGTTCCTATGACCAAGAAGAGCGCCACAATTCTGAAAATGCCACACTTACTGTTGTTTCACCAATAAAGACGGCTGTCCAACCACCTCAACTAAGTACAACTGTCAGTGAATCTGCATCCTTTCACTGCCGCGTTTATCAACAGTACAAGGGCAGGGTAACATACCGGTACGCATGGTATATTAATGGATCTCTGACCACGAGTTATCAACGGTCGGACAGTGGACAGAATCTCACAATTTCACAGCTGACAAGCGAGTTCAATAACACGTCTGTCGCATGCAGTGTGTTCAGTGAAGATGTGGAAGTAACGAGGCAAAAAGAGGAAGCCTTGTTACTTGTGTACCTGGTCAGCATGTCAGTAGCGGAAGAGTTTACTCCTTCTCAGATGCAGCCAGGTTGTGACTGCTCTCCGACTGTCCTCACCGAAACTTGGAGCTTACTACAGATAACCCTTACCATATCGGGATGGTCTTTCAGCATCTTGCTGGTCTTTATCGCAGTCCTCTTCTACTTCTGCGTTTTCAAAGAGCAGTATCAACTGATTCCACGCCCAAGCCGAAAGCACCGTACAACGGGAGACGAGACTACAAGTTCCACTGACCCCAGGGTAAGAGATACAAACATGAATCTTCTGCCGATGGAGAGCAGATGCTCCTCAAGGCGTGAACCCAGTGCGACCGGAGATGAGGCTCTAGGTTCCACTGGTGACCCAGACACACATTCGTACTTGGATCTGTCGATAGTGGAGTGTGAACCCAGTGCGACCGGAGAAAAGTCTGTAGGTTCCACTGGTGACCAAGACACACATTCGTACTTGGATCTGTCGATAGTGGAGTGTGAACCAAGAGCGACCGGAGATGAGTCTGTAGGTTCCACTGGTGACCCAGACACACATTCGTACTTTGATTTGTCGATGGTGGAGTGTAGATGCTCAAGGCCTGAACCCAGTGCGACCAGTGATGAGGCTCTAGGTTCCACTGGTGACCCAGACACGCATTCATACTTTGATTTGTCGATGGTGGAGTGTAGATGCTCCTCAAGGCGTGAACCCAGTGCGACCAGTGATGAGGCTCTAGGTTCCACTGGTGACCCAGACACGCATTCATACTTTGATTTGTCGATGGTGGAGTGTAGATGCTCCTCAAGGTGTGAACCCAGTGCGACCGGAGACGAGGCTGTACGTGCTGGTTCAACTGCCGACCAGGTAGCACATACCTACATGGATGCGTCGATGGAGCGTGGACGGTCCCAAAGGTCCAAACACCTTGCAATCAGAGAAGAGGCTACAGGATCCACTGACGACCGGGTAGCACATACATACATGGATAGTGGGCGATCCCCAAGGTGTGAACCCCGTGTGACTGGAGACAAGACTACACACAAGCAACAAGCATACTTAAATCTCAAGCCAAAGCCAAAGCCAAAGCCAAAGAGTAGACTCTCCTCAAGCCGTCAAGGTGCGAAAACGGGTCGGGTCGGCACTCAGCAGGGGCAAGGTAAGAAAGCTGCGTCCGTAGCAGCAGCTAAACCAGCAGTTCCGTACAAGAAACCAAAGGTCAAACTACCGGTTGAGCCATGTGTAGATGAGCACTTGTATGATGATCCAGCAACTTGCTTGACATAAACAAAATATTATAAAGAAGGGTGTAGACCAATCAGAGCATGCTAACTGCACCACAAAGGCCCCCTTCAATGGCGAAAGCATTGTGCAGATAATCATGGGGCAGTTGTTTTGTACAATACATGTAGCTGTTGCAAGCTGTTGCATTTAGCAGAGTCCTGGGGCCAATTTCACGGCGCGGCTAAGCACAAAAATTTGCTTGGCACAAAAAAGTATGGCTTATAAAAGCAGGTTACCAGTCAAAACGAGATGTACATGTACAGTATGTATATTGCTCACGATTAGTATTCAGCTGTTGTTTGCTGCCTTAGCACGAGAATCACATAGAGTTTTGGCTGATAACTTGTTTTAGTAAAGCCAGATTTTTTTTGTGCTAAGCAATTTTTTGTGCTTAGCAGCCCCGTGAAATTGGGCCCTGATCTGATGCATTCCACCCCTGCATTCCATTGCATTTGTCAGGGTAGGTACATGTACTTGGTACCACCAAGGCTGGCCTGGTTTTTATTGGTTTTTATGGTAATGCAAATTTCCATATTCATGAGCAAAACTGTGATGTCATTCAAGGCAGAAACTTCAATGTCACATCTGCTTCAGCATAAAAAGTCACCAGAATGCTGGGGTTTGCTGTGGTTACTTACTGTGCTTTCAGTGATACATGTACATTGTTTCAGTACACGAATGTAAGATTATGAGAAAACTTTTTGCCAAATGTTTTCAAGAAGAAAACTTTTGGGTTTACAATTTGACGGGAAAAAAAGCCTAATACGAAAAGTGGGGCAAACAGACCACAGACAAATTGTGATTGTACATAATGCCATGAGTAGTAGTATAATTATACCATTTCTGCTGAGAAATGTAAAATTTTAATAGCTTTGCAATGCATGTAGCCCAGAAATTGTTAGATAATTACAGGTGCTTTTAGTGCCGAAAAACTTACAAAATTGTAATGCTTCATATCATGAGCTAAGTGTAACCATTGTCTGGCTATACTTGTAAAACAGTAGCATACATGTATTACATCAGTGGCGCACCTAAGGGGGGGGCACTCGGGGGCTTGAGCCCCCCCCCCCCCCAAGAGGTTGTCAATTTTTTTTTTTGGGGGGGGGGGTTTAGTCCCACAATTTGGC